GGCGGCTCGTGCCAAGCACCGCGCCCTTGATGCCCCTCTCAGCGAGACGAACGGCACCAGGGTCAGCCTTTGCCAGCGCCTGGGCGCCAGTGTTGATGGCCGCGACGGGAGAGTCGTGATCCCCGTGGTTAGAGCTGTGCTGGCGGCGCAGCTGACGCTGCACCTTCTGTGCTCCAAGGTCAGCAGGAAGGACGTGCAGGTGGTGGCAGGGCACTGGTGCCACCTCGACTGCTTCCGTCGGGAGTGCTCCTGCGTCTTCACGCGCGTCTGGAAACTGATCAACGCCTGGACGGGCCCGCCTCGGCAGTATCTGTCTCCAGCTGTGAGCGCGGAGTTTTTCCTGGCGCTTTGCCTCCTCCCGTTGCATCAGTTCGATCTGAGGTGCCCAGTCCCCCCGATGGTCACCTGCAGCGACGCCTCGGAGACCGGCGGGGGCGCGTGCTGGAGCAACAAGCTCCGCCCGTCAGCCGTCGCCCCGTCGCTGGCCGACCTCTGCCAGGGTCGCGCAGCCGGGAGAGACGAGGTCGGACTGGTGGAGCTTGGTGGAGCTCTCCAGCGGCATCGGGGGCGGCAGGATGGCCTTCGACCGCCTGGGTATTGAGGTCGCCGCCCACGCCACCGCAGAGCTACTGCCCGAAGCTCGGCGCGTCAGCCATCAGCAGTGGCCGTCAGCGATAGAGCTCGGAGACGTGACCAAGACTCGCTGAAGACCATCACGGCCGCGATGTCGAAGGCGCCCCACTTGCGCGTCGTGTTCGTGCTGGGGGGATCCCCGTGCCAGGGAGTCGCTCGCATCAACGCCTTTGGGCAGGGTTGGGCCGAGGACCGCGCGCGACTGGTGCAAGAGCTACCTCGCGTGGCAGGCCTCGTGCCAGCCGCCCTCCCCGATGTCCAGGTATTCACCCTGGGCGAGAACGTCAGCTCGATGACGGCCGCCGACAGGGGAAGATTCAGCCAGGTCATGGGAGTCGTGCCCGTGGAGCTCTGTGCCAGCGGATGCAGTCCGGTCAAGCGGCCGAGGCTCTACTGGGTCGACTGGCCGCTCGGGCCAGAGACCTCAGAGTTCCAATGCCAGCAGAAGGACGAGGTCATCGAGGCAGTGCTCACTGGCAGCTGGCCGAGTTGGGCAGAGCAGCTCGAGCAGGGTGCGCGCCGTCCGCGGGGAGAGAAGGGATCGTGGGCCACCTTTGTGCGCTCCATCCCTCGCGCGAGGCCGCCACCTTCCCCAGCGGGGCTGGGAGCGGCCGACCAGGCTGCGCGCGAGCGCTGGGCGGCGGACGAGTACCGCTACCCGCCGTACCAGTGCCGCATGGACAACCTGGTCATCCGCCGCGTCGGCGAGGACAGGGGAGTCGGGCGCCAAGCACAAGCTCCGACCTCTGACCAGCAGAGAGCGGGCTGTGCGCCTGGGGTTTCCCTGGAACCATTGCAGTTGGGCCGTGCCCAAGTCCGAGTCGGGGTCGATCGACGAGGACGTCAAGTGCTCGCTGCTGGGTAACTCTTTCTCAGTCCCGGTGGTAGCCTTCCTGCCTGGAAGAGGTTTGGTGGCCGCTGGAATCTTGAGCGAGCCGCCGACTGTCGCCGAGTGCTTGGGGGCCCCATGTGGGGAGGCAGGCCTCTACCTGGAGTTGCTGCTGGGCGCGCCTGCCGCTGAGGCGACCCCCGATCAAGTGCACCGCGCCCTTTGCGAGTCACTTGTGCGGGACGCCATCTTCAAAGGCAGCGATTCGCGAGCCGCGACGGGAGGCCTGTGGAAGCCTGCGGGTTGGCCAAGGAGAGGCGTTGATGCGGACCGCTGGCTCTGGCGCACATGCCTGAGCTTCAAGCAGGGAGGCGCGCGCATCAACGTCTTGGAGCGGCAAGCCCTCTTGACCGCCGTGTCTTGGCGGATGAGGAGCAGTGCGAACATAGGCGCGAGGTTTATTCATTTCTGTGATTCCCAGGTGTCCATAGCAGTGGCCTGCAAGGGTAGGTCGCAGCCCCGCCAGCTTCAGTCCATCCTCATGCGCTTGAACGCGCTCCTGCTAGCCACGTCCAGCCACCCATTTTGGGTCTTTGTTCGGTCGGAGCTCAATCCGGCCGACGCCCCGAGCAGATGGTGGCAGCCATAGTGCTCAGCGGCGGGACGAGGCAGCAGAGAAAGGATGGGCGAAGCAGAGCGGGGACCCTGAGATCATTGCAGCTCCAAGCGCGCACTGTCCAGTGGTATCTGGAGGCCACACATATATTTATCCAGTGGCTCCTGCGCCTTGGTGAGCCCTTGCCTGTCTCGATCCCAGCCGCCGACGAGATTCTTGGCGAGTATATCGAAGATTGTTGGGCGGCTGGAGAATCCAAGAGCTTGGTGGGAGACGCGTTGTCGGGGCTCCAACATTTTGTTCCAAGTTCGCGCAGAGGTCTCAACGATTTTTGGAGACTGTTCGGCACCTGGTCTAAGACCGAAATCCCTTCCCGCGCTCGGCCGCCGTTGCCCGAGCAGGCTGTTGCGATGGCAGGCTTTGCACCAGAGGAAGGAGACAACGCGACAGCTGCGGCAGTACTGGTGTGTTTCAACGGCATCCTTCGCCCCGTCGAGTGCATGTTGACGGCCGGGCAATGCACCTTTGACCTGGGCCGTGGCGTGGTGCACCTCAACCTCGGTTTTACCAAGGGAGGTAAGAGGTCAGGCACCGCCGAGCGCGTCACCATCGACGAGCTCGAGGCTGTTGCGCTCCGTGCTGAGCTTTTGCAAGGGCGCCCAGCTGGCACCCCCCGCGGTACGGGCGGCTTCCGCCGTGCCTTCAGGACACTGGCCCAGTCCATAGGGGCCGACCCTGATAGGCACGAGCCGTACTCGCTGCGCCGGGGAGGGGTCACCCACCACTTCAAGATCTTGGGAAGTCTCTCCAAGACATGTACCCGCGGCCGTTGGAGGCACCAGCCCACGGCTCGCATTTACATGCAGGACGGCGTGGCCATGCCGGAGCGCCACGGCCTCAGCGCGAAGGAGCGGCGGTTGATAGCTCAGGGAAAGTCGTCGCTACGCCGTCGTCTCTGATGCCCGTGCCCTGGGCCCTCAGACGCCCATGAGCCCCGCCAATTCAGTGTCGCGTGGGAGGTCGCGCGCGCTGGGAGTGTAAGCGTGGAGTGGGCGCGCGCCTGAGTGCTGCGGCGTGCCGCGTTCGGCACCCAGCGGCCAGGCAGACCAAGCCACCTCCTGCGCCCAACGTGACGCTCCCGACGGCCGTCGGAGGGAGGTGAGGGCGGTTCGATTGGGCCGCCTTGCGCCCTGTTTCTGAGGTGGCCCGCCGCATCACCACTGAGGCGCGGGCTGTCGCGGCTAAGAGAAAAGGAGCGCGGCCGCGCCAGCGTCAGACGGGGGCGAGGAGACGAGAAGGGAGGTGCACTAGTCCGTCATTCATGAAGATTAGTGCGAGCTCTCTCCCTCCCCCCTCCGCGACCGCAGTTGTTTGGGCCACCGACCCCGCCCGGCAACATTGGCGCCCTGAGAGTTTTCTAACCTGAATGCGTCAGGGGCTCTCACCCCCGCTGAGGGGAGAGGAGCGGGCGCGCGCCTGAGTGCTGCGGCTTGCCACGTTCGGCACCCAGCGGCCAGGCAGACCAAGCCACCTCCTGCGTCCAACGTGACGCTCCCGACGGCCGTCGGAGGGAGGTGAGGGCGGTTCGCCTGGGCCGCCTTGTGCCCTGTTCCTGAGGTGGCCCGCCGCATCACCACTAAGGTGCGGGCTGCCGCGGCTAAGAGAAAAGGAGCGCGGCCGCGGCAGCATCAGACGGGGGCGAGGAGAGGAGAAGGGAGGAGCACTAAAAATAGTGCGACCGGGGCCCCTCACCGGGCCTCGGGACGGTTGAACTTAAGATGTTCCAACCTGCTGCAGCCCTTGACCACCAGAAAGACTTCGGGCGCCGAACAACTGCCGAAACTCCAGGGTTTCCACGTGTCGGGAGACACTCGTTTCGACACTCTTTCGAGATTATGTCGGCACTTTTCTGTGTGCTCGAAATAATTTTTGGGACGCGGTCCAAGTACGATGGGAGCAACATTAGCTTCAACAGCGACCCACGAGGAAGCTCGGTTCCGGGGAAGGAGTCGAGACTTCCTTGGGGTTCGACGAGGAGAGGGGTTATGGTGCCAACGTCGCAGTGCGGAGTTCGCTCGGAAAACAATGGGATGGGCCCAGATTGCCCTGGAGAATGGCGGCGTTTCGAATGTCGAGGTGAATTTCGTGCGGTTTTTTGGCCAGGAATGAAGCCAACAACAATCCATGCGAAATTTATTTCTTGTTTTTCACTCGCCATTTCGGGGTTTTGCACTGCCAGACATCTACGCAAAAAATCCGTTGCAACATGCCTTCAAGGTCAGTGCAGTGAGAGGAGAGGAGAGGGACGCGGGGCGCAAAGCGAGGACCCAACACCGCAGGAAGGCTGGGAGGGGTGGTGACGTCGGGGGTCTGGGTCGAAACGCAGGCACGTCCCTCCGCTTTCTCCTCCGCCTCGGCTGTGTGGCCTCCTCCCGCGGGCGGCCGCGAGGTGGGTGATGACTAAACGGGGGGGGGGTGGGGGGGATATCGTGGGTGGGGCCAAGAAGAGAAGGAGGAGGAGGAGGAGGGGGAGGAGGAGGAGGAGGAGGAGAGGAGGAGGAGGGAGGAGGAGGAGGAGGAGGAAGAGGAGGATGAGGAGGAGGAACAGGAGGAGGAGGAGGAGGAGGAGGAGGAGGAGGAGGAGGAGGGGAGAGAGAGGGAGGAGGAGGAGGAGAGGGAGGAGGAGGTGGAGGTTGTGGAGGCAGGAGGGGAGGAGAGGAGGAGGAGGAGGAGGAGGAGGAGGAGAGGAGGAGGAGGAGGAGGAGGAGGAGGAGGAGGCAGGAGGAGGAGGAGGACGAGGAGGAGGAGGAGGAGGACGAGGAGGAGGAGGATCGCTCTTACGAAGACCTCGCACCCATGAGCTGCCTCTCCGCATGGCCGGGTGCGCCGCCGCCGTGTTTCGGCCCAGGGCCGGCGGGAGCGATGCCCGACTGGCGGGGCACCGCGTCGGTGCTGCGGCGCCTGCTGCAGAGCGAGCGCGGTGGCCTCGGGTCCGTCTGCCACCTCGAGCGGCGCCACTGGCCAGCCCTGGACGAGGCCCTCGAGGGAGGAGGCAGAGAGGAGGACGAGGGGGGGGGAGGAGGACGGGCGAGCAGGAGGGGTACGCAGAGCGAGATGGGAGTGGGGGTCGAGTGTGGCGTGGAAGTGGAGGAGGACAACGAGGAGGGGGAGAAGCAGGGGGAGGAGGGTGATGTCCTTCTCGTCGCCCTCTCTTCACCCTCCTTCATACTCATCGCAAGGAGAAGGCACCAGGGCGTGGGCGAGGAGGAGGACAACGACTGAGGAGAGAGGTGGGAAGAGGAGGATGCGAAGCAGGAGAAGACGGCGCATGAGGAGGAGGAGGAGGAGGAGGAGGAGGAGGAAAAGGAGGAGGAGGAGGAGGAGGAGGAGGAGGAGGAGGAGGAAAGGAGGAGGAGGAGGAGGAGGAGGAGGAGGAGGAGGAGGAAAAGGAGGAGGAGGAGGAAGAGCAGGAGGTGGAGCGTACGTGCCAGGTCGTGATCCAGGAAGGTTGAGGACTGTATCCTTAGTGTTTGGGATACATGTGATATCAAGAAGCCACATCCGGAATCGTGTGATGAGGATGGGGAGGAATATCAGTTCCCGTGCGAGGATGGCGATGATGAGGAGAAGGAGGAGAAGTATGAGCTACAAGATGACTTGTATGATGATCATGAAGACATGGATGATTAATGGAGAACATGGAGGATGGTGGACAGAACGGACGAGGAGGAGGAGAAGGATGAGGAATAGGAGAGAGGAATCATATAATGGTTGATGTAGGAGGACGCGTCGCAGGACGCGACATGGAGGAGGAGGAGGACGACGAGGGCAGATGAGCAGTGTTAGGAGGAGTAGGAGAGGGTAAGGGAGGAGGAGAAAGAGGAGGAGGAGGAGGAGGAGGAGGATCAGGAGCAGGAAGAGGCGGCGGTGGTGGAGGAGGAGGAGGAGGAGAGCGACGAGCGACGAGGTTGAGGGCGGCGGAACACGAGGGAGGCTGGCAAGGAGCTCTCCCGAGGTCCCCCCTGGAGCTGTGTGCGCAGGTCCCCTGACAAGCGGCTTCGTCGGAGGCCCCCTAGGCCCGACAGAGCCCCGATGTTTTGCCTTAGGCCTCCTGGATGGGGTCGGAGTAGGCGAGGTCGGAGGATCGCGCCGCATCGCCGATGCATCGACGATGCGGCTCGATGTGGAGCCCGATTTTCCTCACGCCGACGTCGCCGATGCATCACCCACGTCGACGATGCATCGCCGGTGCATCGCTGATGCATCGTCGATGCATCGTCGATGTATTGGCGATGGTGCGCGATCCTCCGACCCCATCTACTCCGACCCCATCTAGGAGGCGTCTATCTGCTGTCTCGGCCATCTGCTCTTAAGTCGGGCCTGTCCCTCCACAGGAGGAACATTCAAACATAGTCCAAAATAGTCTAGGGACGATTTTTTCCAGCATTTCTTTCACTTTTCACTTTTCGTCCAGAATCCGACCGTAGGAGGACATGCCCGACCTAACCCTGCACGCCAGGCCCTCGGCGAGGTGCTCGCGAACGCGACGGCGCCGCGGCCCGCCGGCCCGCCGCTGCTGCAGCGGCTGGCCGGCGGCGGGGTGGTGGCCTCCGCCGGCCGCGGCGGCCTGGCGGTGGGGTGTCTGGGCGGGCACGGCCGTGGAGGATCGGCCACGCGCAGGTCAAGCAGTGGCGGAGCGTCCCGGCGTATATTCTGCACGAGCGAAATGGGTACGGAGAGAATGGGTACACTGCCCAACAGCGGATCTTGTTCATTTTGAACAGGACTCGCTGTCCGCGCCGCCGCGGCCTGTGTCCATTCGAGACAGGAGGCCGCCTGCCCAGCAGCGGCCGCTGTTGGTTTGGGATAATATTTGTTGTTGGGCATTGTACCCATTCTTTCCGTACCCATTTCGGGCGTCCAAATATACCAGGCGATCGCAGACATGGATCAAGGACGCGTGGATTAGCAGAGGGTCCCGTTCCCACGTGGAGTCGCAGATGTCCGCCGCCGAGCGGGCGGCATTGGCCGCAGTCTGGAGAGGGCGCCTCCCCCGATCCATGCTTGCGCGCCCGCGGCTATAGGCCCACCAATCAATGTTCTAAGAACCGTGTGTGGTCTGCACGAAATGGTCTTAGAGCCTTTCTGGCTGGGGCCGTCTTGTTTTCGCACATCGTGCCTATATTCGAAGAACATGTTTTTGTTCTAAGAGTATTCTTGGGTTCTAAGAAAATTCTCCACGCTTCGCGTATCCCCACCAGCCCATCTCAAAACAGCAACTCTAGCGAAGCATGCCGACAGTCGTGTTTTTCAGGCGTGTTTCCGCCTGCCCCCGCATATCTCCCCTGTTCCTCCTTCCTCCCGCCTCCTTGTACATCCTCCTTGTGGTGGGAGCGGGAGAAGGACGAGGCGGAGGAGGAGGGAGAGAAAGCGCTCCTCGTGGTTTGAGTCGTTTGGGGTTTCTCGTCCTGGTGTGAGTCGTTCGGGCCCTTCTTCCTGGTGTGAGTCGTTCGGGCTCTTCGTGGTGTGAGTCGTTCGGGCTCTTCGTCCTGGTGTGAGTCGTTCGGGCTTCTCGTGGTGTGAGTTGTTCGGGCCCCTCGTCCTGGTGTGAGTCGTTCGGGCCCCTCCTCCTGCCCGTCCAGAAACGACGCCCAGGCGAGTAGAGGGTCGTCCTGATGGGCTTTTCGGCGTCTTGGGTGCCTCGGGGGGGCCTCTTTGGGCCGTTTGGGATCCTCTTGGGGGCCTCCTGGGGGCCTCTTGGGGCCATCTTGGGGCCTCTTGGTGCCTCCTGGGCGCTTCTTGGGGCCATCTTGGAGGAAATCGATCAAAGAAGAGGGGAGCTTTAATTAGCGCTGCCCCCTCAGAAGGCCAAAATGGGGCCAAAACCTTAGTAAAATCAATGATTTTGGCTTGAAAGAAGAGGGGAGCTTTAATTAGCGCTGCCCCCTCAGAAGGCCAAAATGGGGCCAAAACCGTAGTAAAATCAATGATTTTGGCTTCAAAGAAGAGGGGAGCACTTTTCTGCCTCCCCCCGTCGGGGCCAGAATCCTCGTGAGGGGTGTCGTTTTTTAGCCCTCCCAGGAGTCGAAAAAGACCCCTCCAACCACCCGCGGAGGACCTCTCCAGGCCCAGGGGGAGGGGGTAGGGGGAGGGGTAAACCCCTCCCCGAAGGGGAAGAAGGGGGTTGAGAACAGAGCGGGCTCTCTAAACCACTCACGCCCAAAGGGCTGGTGGGATTTCGTGGTAGGCCTACAGGATTGCCGGGACGGTCGCTCCCTGCTCAAGCAGGGGGGGATAGGGTGAAGTCGGGCCTGTCCCTGTACAGTTTTCGACTATTCCCTCACTTGTTTTGGATATGTTCTTGATTATTTTTCACGATTCCTCCAACATCCGCCTGTAGGAGGGCCTGCCTTACCTGAGGGTAGGCAGAGGGGGGAAGGTCCTGAGATCCTGGCGCCTCGATTTTCTAGAGTCGGGCGCTTTCGCCTCTGTTCGGGCCCTGGGACCCTCGCAGACCGATCCGGCTCGAACAATGACGCAGAGGGGGTCCAGGGCTCCGGGCGTGATTTTCTACGATGTTGCAACTTGATCGCTGCGTCGGATCTCAGGGGGGTCTGCTTCTTCGAAGGTGCGGGTCTTATCTATAGATGTAAGGCCGGCGCCTTCGAGGAATCAATGAAGGAGAAAACGCCATGAACATGTTTTTGTTTGCCGCTCCACGCGGATTTCTTGGACCTGCGTTGGACCCCCTACCTGGCGTGCGGAGCGCGCGAGTGGCGGCGCCGGAGGCGCCGCCGGGGGGGCCCAGCGCGGATCAAAGACATCCGCGCGGAGCGCCGAAAGTTTATGTTTATGGCGTTTCTTCTTCTTCTGCTTCGAAGGAAGTAGAGGTAGCCTTCTTCTGAGAAGCCTTTTCCCCCTCCCCCTCCCCCTCCTCCTCCTCCTCCGCCTCCTCCTCCTCCTCCCCCTCCTCCGCCTCCTTCTCCGCCTCCTCCTCCTCCTCCTCCTCCGCCTCCTCCTCCTCCGCCTCCTCCTCCTCCTCCGCCCCCTCCCCCCCTCCTCCTCCTCCTCCTCCCCCTCTCCTCCTCTCCTCCTCCTCCTCCTCCCCCTCCTCCTCCCCCTCCTCCTCCCTCCTCCTCCCCCTTTCAGCCTCCCCCACGTGCGCGGCGCCCCGAGGAGTGGGGCTCTTCTCCGGCTGCCTCGCGCTGCGCGGGGCGGACGGCGAGCGCCAGCCGTGGCGGGGAGGCGGGGAGCCCCAGGGTGCAATCGATTGCATGCCCCTCCTACAGGAGGAAGGTGCAGAGATACTACTCCAGATTTCGTAATAAAAGGGAGGGGGTCTGGACCCTCCAAGACAAGCCATTTCAGACCTCCCCCGTGGGAGAACCCTCCAAAACATCGTCCCCAGACCTCCCCAGGCCCTCCAAGATAGCCTGGAAGAGACCCCCCCCCCCGAAATGAGACCCCCCTCCCTTTATTACGAAATCTGGAGTAGCAAAACAGTCTGGGGGGACGATGTTCCCACCTCTTTTTGATTACTGTGGACCATGTTTCGACTCTTTGCACATCTTCTTCTCAAATCCGCCGTGAGGAGGACGTGCCCGACCCAACTCGAAGGGCCCAGGGCCGACGCTTCCGTGGGCCTCCCGGGGCGCAAGGGCCGAGGGCCGACGCTTCCGTGGGCCTCCCGGGGCGCCCCTCGTCGTCCCGGGCCGGGGCCGCCTCTCTCGGAGTCTCGCGCTCGGCATCGTCGGGGGACCTCGCCTGTCTCCACTATTGGTGTTTTCTCCTGTGCCCGGCGCGGCCTCGATGCGGGCTCGACACGGATTTTGCGTGGATTCGACGCGGATTCGACGCCGATCCGACGAGTTCGACACGGTATCGACACGGGTTCGGCGCGGATGGGGCCGCGACGGGACAGCCAAGATCCCCCGAAGATGCAGCACGAGGAGTCTTGGTCACAGCGCGGGCCCCAAAAGAGATCGGGGGCCCTGCATATGTTGATCAGGAGGGAAAATCATTCAGACACAATTGATCGTCGATTCCCAGGAAAATTCCGGAAAATATGGGAAGTGGCGGGGAAGACGAAAACCCAGAAAATATGAGAAAGTATCGGGACTCCTTGGATTTGTGTATTTATTTGTGTGTCCCTGGGCCCCTTCGGTTGAGGGAGGATGGGCGCCCAGGCGTCATGAAGCACGGGAGAACTCGAGATGGCTTGCGGCACTGGGGCCCTCGAGCAAGCGTTTGGGCTGCAGCATTGGTCCCAGGAAAGGTTTGGATGCAACTCCTCGGAGATCAAATTTAAGTCGAGCGTGTCCCTCTTTTTTCGTCCAAAATCCGTCTGTATGGGGACATGCCGAACCTAAGTCAAATTCTGACTTTGCCCTGGTCCGAAATCCGGTGTAATCCCGCCTTATCCGTTTCAATCCAGCCTAATCCTTTTCAATCCGCCCAATCTGGCGTAACAGCCCCCCAACGGGGCTTGATCTTCCCGAGTCCCTCCGACGAGCACCTCCCAGTAGTGGCCTCCTAAGAGAGGGGTCGAGAGCTCCGGCATCGTGACACCAGTGAAAGGATCGGGCCGTCGGCGTCCTGGGAGAGCTGGGGTGGCGGGGTGTGGCCCTGCGGACTTTGGCGTCGGCGCGCGGCCCTCGAGCTCTGATAGAGAGAGCCGCGCGCTCGCCCCGGGAGTACCCTGCGGGTGTTGCTGGACGTGCCCTCTGGCCCGAGGGTGCCCCCCGGAGTGTCCAGAGAGGCCTCCACGGCCCCCAGCGCCCCCCTCGCGAGGCCACAGTGGGCTCCAGGGGCCCCAACATTCACCACCCACCAAACCACCCCAACCCAACCCGAAGGCCTCAATTTGCCCTCCATTTCCAGTGGGGGGGGGTCGGGAAACGTCGAAAAAACACATGTGGAACCCTTACCCCCCCCAACCCGAAATTCGGGTCTTCGGGTTGGGTTGGGGTGGTCTGGTAGGTAGTCAAACATGGAGCGGAAAGCTGAGGGCACCGTGGGCCAGGGGCACTCCTGGCAGCACCCGAACCTCGTCAGCGGTGGGCGGCGGAGCGTCGCCCCCTCTCCCGAAGCAGGCCTTGCCGTGGCGCTACTCTGCACGTGGCTTGCGCTTGTCGCCTACAACATCGTCTACGCCACTCGGCGCCGAGGCGGCCACGGCGCAGAGGGCAGGACGGAGGCTGGAGCGGCAGCGACGTCCGCCGAAGAGGAGGTGCCGCGGCCTCCACCGCCGAAGGGCAGGTGCCAGACCGCGGCTCGGTGCGAGATTTGGGACGCCACCAAGTTTCTGCTGATGACTGGCGTGATCTTCTTCAAGGGGAACGAAGAATGACAAACGCATCACAACTCGGAGGTCCGCGCAGATTTCTCGTGTCGGCGCTGGACCCCCGTCCCTGGCGCGCGGAGCGCGCCAGAGACGGCGCTGGAGGCACCGCCAGGGGGGCCAGCGCGGATCCGATAAACATCCGCGCGGATCTCCGAGTTGTTATGCTTATGTCATTGTTCGTTCCCCTATCTTCCACTGTGCCTTTTACCTCTCCGCCGAAGATCTCAGGGACTGGACCGTGTCCCGGGCGGCTCTGCGGCCGGTGGTGCCCTGCTTCATCTTCGTGTCGGGCGTCTTCGGAACCAGCGTCTCGCTCCAGGCCTTGGTGAAAGCCCTCTTCTATCCCTGGCCGTGCGTGCTAGTCATGGGGGCCATATTCTCAGCACGCTGCCTCGATGAGCGTCTCGTGTCCGCCACGGCGGGCTTCAACGGCTTCGCGTTCTGGTACTTGTGGTGCATGTGCTTCTGGCGGTTGGCGGTGTCCACGGTCATGCACGCGGGGAACCGCAAGCTGGGGCTGCCTGTCGTCTTCCTGCTCCTGGCGCTGCAGCTGCTCGTCCACGCGCTGCTGAACACGGCTGGGTCGCTCGCTGGGCCCTGGAACGACGTGTGGCGGTGCTTCCTGTTCTACGCGCCGGTGTTCGCCGCTGGGCAGCTCGTCGAGCCGAGCTTCTGGAAGGACACCTTCGCGGAGAGGCGGCGGGCGCGGGCGTGGTGGCGACGGCCTCGGAGGTCTCCAGGGGGGGGCTCCGAGGGCCCAGAGAGGCCAAGGGCGCCCAGGTAGCTCGGTCCTGGTGCGTCGGCGACGCTGGCGGCGGAGACGACGGCGACGGCAGCGACCACGGCGGCGGCGACGACGGCGAGCAAGACGGCGAGCAAGACGGCGACGACAGTGACCGCGACGGTGGCGGCGGCGGCAGCGACGGCAGCATCGACGACGACGGCGACGGCAGCGACAGTGACCGCGACGACGGCGGCGGCGGCGGCGGCGGCGACACCGACCGCGGCCACGACGACGACGGCGGGCGGCGACGGCAGCGGCAGCCCGCGGCCTCGGGGCGCGGCGGCGGCGGGGACGGCGGCGGCGAGGCGGCGGGCGGCGGCCACCGCCGCGGCCTCCGTGGCGTTCGTGGTGCTGTGGTACCTGCTGCTCGCGGCCTCGCCCGCGTTCGGGCGGTGGAACACGGCGCCCCGCGGGCGGGAGCGCGTCTGTCGTCCTCGTCCTCGTCGTCGTCGTCGTCGTCGGCGGCGGCGGCGGCGGCGGCGTCGTCGGCGGCGTCGTCGGCGTCTACGGCGTCTACGGCGTCTGCGGCGTCTACGGCGGCGGCGGCGGCGGCGGCGTCGTCGGCGTCGTCGTCGTGGGTCGGGCGTCGAGGTTCGAGGGGTTCCAGGTTTTGGGAGGTCCTGCGGGCGCGCTCTCGGGCCTCCCGCGGCCCCCGGTGGCCTCCGCTCGCGGGCGCAAGAGCGTCAAGGCCGAGGCAGAACAAGGGCTCCCATGAGGGCGCGAAGTTATTCGCGCTTCGCGGTCCTCGTTCCTTCTCCCCCTCCTCCTCGTCCTCCTTTTCTCCCTTTGGGGGGGCGGCGCGAGAGCGCGAAGTTATTCGCGCTTCGCGCTTCGCGCAGCGCGAAGCGCGAAGTTGGGAGCCCTAGCAGAACGTCAGGGGAGAAGTAGACGGTGGGTTTGTGCCGTGTCGACGCGGCGATGCCCGCAGCGCGGGCGTCAGAGGTTGAGCGCCGCCTGTGGCGTGGAGCCGACCGACACGAAGCGATCTGGTCTCGCGCAACGCCGCGATGCCTCAGGGTTGAACGGTCCACGCAGCGTCAGGGCACAACGCCCATGTCGAGAGCAGAAGCGGAACCATAAGCGACTAAGTAGTTACTCATGCAGTATCGGACGTCCTCGTGGGTTGCTTGGGTCGGCGACGGACCCCCCTGGCGGTGCCGCTCGGGTTGGCTTCGTGCGCCAGCGGGGGTTGGTGGCAACGCGACCCAACAACTCCGCCGAGGTCTCCACGAATTAAGGTTTTATGCCTTCCAGTCTTGAAGTAGGGCAGGTCCTAGAATACAGATGCCATACCCCTCGATCTTGCGCTTTTGGGCCTCCTGGCTCCGCGTTCCATACTTGCCACGCCCCGCGACTTTGGGACGGATAGAGATCGCGGTGATGGACCACCCCTTGCGCACCGCCTGTGGTGTGGAGAAAATGCCACGCTGTGTGTGTGTGTGTGTGTGTATGCGTACGGTCCGCGTCTGTGTGTATGTGTGCGCTCGGCGTCTGAATTTGCGCATGTGTATCATGCGTGCACGGTTGCATTGCATACGTGTGTCTCATGCGGGCGTCGTGCTGCGTCAGGCAGCATGCTCGTTTGTGTATGGTGCGCGCGAGTGATGGTGCCAAAGAGAAGGCGAGGGGGAGTTGTGATTGGGAGCGCAGGACCCATGCGGGTGATAGGGCTCACCAAATAGGCGAGGTGTGGGCGTCGCGGGTGGGACGCGGCTGAGAAGAAAAACCATAGCCCCACGAAACATGTTGGAAACACATACGGATCATCAATGATTGTTCCCTCTTGGGGCCCTCTTGGGACGCCTCTTGGGGCTCTCTTGGGGCCTCTCGGAGGCCTCTGGCGCCGACTTGGGGCCATCTTGGGCGTCTTGGACCGATCGTTCGGCGATGCTGGGCTCCTTTGGACCGACTGGGCGGCCTCTTGGGGCCCTTTTGACTCGTCTTTGAGCTCACTTGGCCACGAGCAAATCATGCGGGAAGCCGTGACGGGGCCCAGGAGGCGCGCGACAAGCCCAGGAACATTTGAGAATTTGGGGGTTCGGCCCCCTTCGAGAATCCTCGCGATTGAGGACTAAGGCTTAATGGATTGGGCCAAGGACCTGGGGCACTCCAACTCGTGCCCCGAGGGCACGGTGGCGGATACTACCTGTAGGTGACATGGGCATGAAGGGCGGATCGCCGTTTTCGGCATTTGAAGAGCCGTTTCGACAGGAGTCCACCCAGGACTGCAAGGCGGGGCCAGGATGGACCCTGCGAGTAGTCCAGTGACCGAGTCAAGCAGGCTTGGCCTCTGCCTGGCCAGAGCTATCCCCGGTCCCAGGAGTTGTGTTTACGCCCTCCTGGCCGAGGCAGAGAGGGTCAACTCTCAAGTCAGGCTTGTCCCTCTACAGGAGGAACATCCAAAAATACTTACAAATAATATGGGGGCGATGTGTTACCTAACAGCGAAGACTGATAGGTTTCTAGTGGGATCAAAAGAGAGCAGCAGATCACTCCACAGGGGGGTCTGGGCAGGTGTTGGGAGTTGCCGGGCGGCAGGTGCCGGGCTCGTTTTTCACCAACAGTCACACACTTCGTGCTCTTCGCCTTCCCAGAACTCCATTCCCAGGCCACATTCTGAATACCCGGATGCAACAGTCACACACAAAGTGCTCTTCGAGATCCCAGAACGCCATTCCCGGGCCACATTCTGAATAACCGGATGCAACAGTCACACACTTCGTGCTCTTCGAGTTCCCAGAACTCCATTCCCGGGCCACATTTGGAGGGCCGGATGCAACAGTCCCACACTTCGTGCTCTTCTATTTCCCAGAACTCCATTCCCCGGGCCACATTTTGGATGCCCGGAGCCAACTGTAGGCCACTTCGTGCTCTTCGACTTCCCAGAACTCCATTCCCGGGCAACATTTTGGATGCCCGGAGCCAACTGTAGGCCACTTCGTGCTCTTCGAGTTCCCAGAACTCCATTCCCGGGCCACATTTTGAATGCCCGTAGCCAACTGCAGGCAACTTCGTGCTCTTCGACTTCCCAGAACTCCCATTCCTGGGCCACATTTTCAGCAGGGGCAAGAGCACGACGAGGAGGAGGACGAGCAAGACCAGGAGGACGAGGACGAGCAGGAGCAGGACGAGGAGCAGAGGAGCAGGGCAGGAGAAGAAGGACGAGCAGGAGGAGGAGGAGGACGAGCAGGAGGAGGAGGACGACCAGGAGGAGGAGGACGACCAGGAAGAGGAGGAGTAGGAGGAGGGGAGGGGGAGGAGTACCAGGAGGAGGAGGAGGAGAGGAGGAAGGGAGGAGACACAAGACAGAGGAGAGGAGAGGAGAGGAGGAGGAGGAACGAGGACGAGGAGGAGAGGAGGAGCGGCGGGGGGAGAGTACCAGGAAGAGGAAGAACGAGGGACCGGAGGAGGAGGAGGAGGAGGAGGAGGAGGAGGAGGAGGTAGGAGGACGAGAAACACACCAGGAGGAGGAGGACGAGCAAGACGAGGAGGACGAGAACGAGGGAAGACAGGACGAGGAGGAGGAGGAGGAGGAGGAGGAGGAGGAGGAGGAGAAGGAGAAGGAGAAGGAGGAAGAGGAGGAGAGGAAGAGGAGGAGGAGAGTAGGAGGAGGAGGAGGAGGAGGAGGAGGAGGAGGAGGAGGAGGAGGACGAGGATGAGGAGGAGGAGGGGGGGGGAGAGCACCAGGAGGAGGAGAACGAGGACCACCAGGAGGAGGAGGAGGAGGAGGAGGAGGAGGAGGAGGAGGAGGAGGAGGAGGAGGAGAGAGCACCAGGAGGAGGAGGACGAGCAAGACGAGGAGGACGAGAACGAGGACGAGCAGGAGGAAGAGGAGGAGGAGGAGGAGGAGGAGGAGGAGGAGCAGGAGAAAGAGGAGGAGGAGGAGGAGGAGGCAGGATGAGGCTGAGGCTGTGACTGCGACTGCCGTTGCCGCTGCGACTGTCATCGCGAATGCGACTACGACTGCGAGAACAGCAGAATTCGACAACTGGATTTTCATCTGAATCTTAAGGGGAATGCTTTCAGATATGCTTCTACACTTCGCTGTTAGGTTGCTTTGCCGGGATAATTTTGCATGTTTGTGTTAAGTGTGGAGCATTTTTATGTCTATTTTTTCGTCCAACATCCGCCTGTAGGGGGACATGCCCGACCTAAGTCTCCTCCTCCTCCTCCTCCTCCTCCTCCTCATCATCATCATCATCATCCTCTTCATCATCATCCTCCTCCTCCTCCTCCTCCTCCTCCTCCTCCTCCTCCTCATCATCATCATCATCATCATCATCCTCTTCCTCCTCCTTACGCCATGCCCTGGCCCAGGGTGGCCCTCGGGCGCGGTGGCTCGGAGTTCTCGGACGCCTCCTGCGGAGCCCCTCCTTCTCCTCTGCGTGGCCTCCCCGAGCCCGGGAAGCGAAGCACAGCGCTCCGCGGGCGGAGCTGCGGTCGTCGTCGTCGTCGTCGTCGTCGTCGTCGTAGACTTCGTCGTCGTCGTCGTCGCCGTCGTCTTGTCCGTGTCCTTGTCGTTTTCCGGGTGTTCGAGGGTCGAGGTTCCAGGGGTTCCCCGGGTCTTCTTCAAATTTTTGTTTTTTGCGTCGGTCGTCGCCCCCGAGGATTCAGCCTTGATGCTTGCGATGTGCTTTTGTTGTTCTCGTCTACAGGACCCGGATTGAATAAGGAGCACTTACTTATCAAAAGGGGCTCGGTCGTTCCTTTGGCTTGTATACGTTCCGCTATTTTTTTGTCGGCAAACTCCCCTGGTGTTCCTTCAGATTTTGGACGCGCGGGTCCGTTCCTTCGGTCTTCGTACTTTTATTAATCGCTTCGCTCATTCCGCCGGCCCATACAGTCTCATGTCTGCCGTTTGCCCGAGGGCCTGGTGTCAATGCGGCGCTTTGGGGGTTCCTGGGGCCGCTTGGGGGACTCCTGGGGCGCTCGGGGGGGCATTTGGGGGGCCTCCTGGGGCCGCTTGGGGGACTCTTGGGGGCCTCCTGAGGGCCTCGTGGGGGCCTCTTGGGGCCTCTTAGGGGCCTCTTGGGGCCTCGTAGGGGCTTCTTAGGGCCGAGGGCTCGAAATGTTGTTTCGTGTTCCCTCTCTGGGGCCCCTTTGGGGGCGTTCTTGGGGCCCTCTTGGACCGTCTTGGAGGCTTCTTGGGCCGTCTTCGAGCCCTCTTGGGCCATCTTGGGGCCCTCTTGGGGGCCTCTTGGGCCCTCTTGGGGCGATCTTGGGGGCCTCTTGGGCCGTCTTGGGGCGTCGGGAAGCCGAAAAGGTGGAAGCTCCAAAATCTTTCAAAAACCTAAGGAAAACAATGAATTTTGCCTCCGGGGGCCCTCTTGGGAGTGCTCTTGGAGGCCTCTTGGGGCGTCTGGGGGCTATCTTGGGCGTCTTGGAGCGATCTTGTGGCATGTCGGACCCCTCGTGTACCATCTTGGGGGCCTCTTGGGGGCCTCTTGGCCTTTCTTGGGGCTCTCGGGGACGTCTCGGAGCCCTGTTGGTGCGCTCATGGAGCGCTCCTGGAGCGCCCTGGGGGAGTCTCCCGGGGATCGCTCGGGGGTCGGTCGGGGATCGCCCGGGGTACTTTTCGTCCGGGGACCCCCAGGGGCCGCCCCGCGCGCGCGAACTAGAGAATTGTTAACCAGTTACCGGAGATCTTAGCACGCCTCTGGCCCGTTGGGCCGGCGAATTTGAAAAAAAGAGGCCTCGTTCCTTATTTATCCTTGCTTAGGTCAGGCCGAATCCTGTACCTAACGGGCCTCCAGCAGCCTCTGTGAGTCTCAAGCTGTTTCCGAAACGGGCGCTCAGAGGTCGAAGCACCACAACCGTACAAAAAGATGCTGCGTCTGGCGTCCAGGCGCATGTTTGGTTTCTGGTACGGGGTCTTGTCGTGCCTTTCTTCGTTCTGTGCCCGGTCGGGCCATGCGGCAATGCCTGTTCTGGGATGTAAGTCGGCGCGTCGAGCAGTGCAGTGCAGGGTGTGGGTGTCATACTTCGGCCTGCGAGGCATACTGCATAGACGAGGAGACGTGCAGCATGGGGAACTACGGCATCCCGCACGACGTGCTGCACGAGCCCATCAGCGAGGCGGATGAGGAGGTGGTGGAGGAGCACTTCGGAGGGCACCAACTATACACCAACACCGATCCTGGCCCAGGATCACCCTGGGCCCAGGTTCGGTGTATATGCCTTCTTGCGCAAGGCAGGAGGGCGTATACACCGATCCTGGGCCCAGGGTGATCCTGGGCCAGGATCGGTGTTGGTGTATAGTTGGTGCCCTCCGAGCACTGCATCGAATGCATGACCAGGGGAGGAGGAGGCCTGCGTGAAGGAGGAGGCGGAGGCGAAGAAGGGAACAGGAGGGGAACGGCGACGACGTCGACAGTGGCGGCGATGGCGACGACCCTGGGATCTGTCATGAACAGCGCTCTGGCCCAGATCCCGAGGCGGATCCAGCCGTGCTGACGGGGCCCCTTCTTTTCGGTCCGATTGATGAATGGGTACGAGGACCGACAGCAGTCCCTGTCCATTTTGAGCAGGGTTCGCAGTCGGCGTTGCCAATGACGATGTCTATTTGGGACAGGAGGCCTCCTGCCCAACAGCGGCTGCTGCCGGTTTGGGTCAAGATTTGTTGTTGGGCTTCTTACAACTTTTCCATACCCATTTGGGGCGTCGATTTTTTTTGGGGAGGACTAGCGAAGATTTCGGTAGCCGTCCATGGGAGCCTGGTATACCCTCCTGATTCCGCGTCTTCAGCGTCGATTGGTGTCGATTAGTGTCTTGCCCCGAGCGCGGCGGCAGCGACCGCGGCGGGCGGCCGTCCCTCCCCCCCCCCTCCCCGAGAGAACGCGAGAGGCGGGCCTGGGCGAGAACGTGGCGGTGCTCGCGCTGCGGCTCGGCATTGTCCTGGCCTACCTGGGCGTGCTCGGCGCAGGCCCCCACCTCAGAGGAGGAACAGGTATCCATGCCGCTACCCCTCGGCCGTCTTCCCCCGTTTTGGGCGAGGCCCTCGTCACCACCGCTGGATTCGCCTCGAAGTTCTGGTCAGAACGCACCCCGGGAGAGGTCCGGGGGACAGCGGTATTGGTACCTCTTGGTTTCCCCACACCGTCGGCGAAGCCCGCCTCGCTCGTCTGGGATTGGGTGGGGGGCAGCGGCGGGCAGAAGACAGGGGGGGGGGAAGAGGGAGGAGGGGGAGGGCGGAGGGACGACAAGGAGCGGGTGGAGACGGAGGCGCAGGAGGGAGGGCAGGAGGAGGAGGAGGAGGAGGAGGAGGATGAGGAGGAGGGAGGAGGAGGGAGGAGGAGGGGAGGAAGGAGGAGGAGGAGGAGGAGGAGGGAGGAGGAGGAGGAGGAGGAGGAGGAGGAGGATTTGAGGACGGAGGATGGAGAGGAGGAGGAGGAGGGAGGAGGGGGGAGGAGGAGCCGAGCGCAGAAGCAGAGTGGATCGGCAGGGGAGGAGGAGATCTCGACGACGACGGCGGTCGCCTGCCGCGGCCGCGGCCGCCGCCGTCGCCGCGGGGCCTCGGCGCGCAGGCCTCCGCGTGCTCGGGGCGGCCAGCCCCGGCCTGGCGGCGTGCCTCGCGGGCTGGGGGGAGCGGTCCGTGTTCGCCTACGTGCTGCACCACCTGTGGCTCGAGCTGATCCCGGGGGCGGCCGAGGCCGCAGCAAGCGTCGATGCCGCAGCAGGCCTCCCGGGTGGGGTCGGGGGGTCGCGCCGAAGGCTTCGGCGCATCGGCGATGCGGCGCGATGCGGATTCCGATTGGCTTCACGCCGACGTCGCCGATGCAATCGTCGACGTCGACGACGCATCTCCGATGCATCGCCGATGCATCGCCGATGTATCGCCGATCTGGCGCGATCCTCCGGCTCCATCTACTGCAGCCCTACCAGGGGGTCCTCTGGGGAACGTCCTCTGAATCGCGGGGAGAAGTCACGGGAGGGGAAAGGACACACACGCAAAGAATCTTCGATTCCCAGGAACACAGATGGGAAGCTACGAGAGCTTGGGGGGAGACGAGGATCCAGGACATGTGGGAACCCTGGGGACTGTGTCTGCTCATGTGTGTGTGTCCTTTGGGCCCCACTCAGAAGGCACGGGAGGGAGGCCTTGTGGGCGCACTCTCGGTCTCCGGGGGGGGGCCTCGCTCGGCCCCCGGAGGCCGTCCACAGAAGCTGCCCGGGTCGTCCTCTCGCTGGAGGAGGCCAGGTCGCGGGGGGGGGGATCGTCTGCGCCCGGCTCGGGGTGAAAAGCCGGTCCTTCGGGGAAGAGGCCTGGACCTCCGGGGGGGAGGCACGCTGTGGGGCAGTCGCGCCCTCGGAGTTCCTCGGGGGGGGCGCGGGAGGTGCACAGGTGCGCGTCGTGTTCTCCGCGACCTCGGTCCTCCTCCTGCTCCTGCTTCTGCTTCTTCTTCTTCTTCTCCCGCCCCTCTCCACATCCGCAGAAAACCAACAAGTGCACGGGGAATGGACGCCCGAGCGGTGGCGATCGTCGCCCTCGTCCTCGGAGTCCTCGGCGGCCTCCGCTGCGGCCGCGGCCGCCCCGGCGGTCGTGGCGGCGGGCGGCCGGGAGCTGCTCGACGCGGCCCCCGCGGCGTGGAGGCCCGCCCTGTGCCTCGCGCTGGCCACGCAGGCGGCGGCGGTGCTGCCGCCGACGACGACGAGTTCCCCGCCTCGCCGCGTCGGCGCCGTCGTCGTCGCCGTCGTCCGCTGCGCCTCCTCGTTCTCGCGGGTTCTCTCCTCGCCTCGGCGCCGCCTCCGCGGCCTCGGGGCCTCGGGGGAGGAGGGGGACGAGAGGCGACGAGAAGTGAGAGCAGGAGGAGGAGGAGGAGGGAATAGGAGCAGGAGGAGGAGGAGGAGGAGGAGGAGGAGGAGGAGGAGGAGGAGGAGAAGCAGGAAGAAGCAGGGAATAGGAGGAGCAGGAGGGGCAGGAGGATGACGCCCTGCGCAGTGCCCTGTGCTGGCCCCGCGAGGCGACCGTCGTGCTGTCCTCCGGGGGCACGGCGAGCCTGGCGCGGTGGCTGGTCATCCCCCCGTGGCTCTGAGCGCCCGCGCCGCCCGCGCTCCAGCCACCGCCGCCCTCACCGCCCATCATCGCCTCGCCCCCTCGCCCGCTCTGGCCCTCGTTTCGGTTCCTCTCTGATCCGATTCGATACTCCGGGTGGCCTCCGGTTCCAGTTCGGGTCGACCCTGGATTCCGATCCGGGCTCCGATACTCCATTGGGGGGCCCACTGTTAAGTCGGGCCTGTCCTTCTACAGGAAAATTCAAAAATGGTCCCAAAGTAGGCTGGGGACTATTCTTTGACTATTTCTGTCCATTTGGGGGTATTTTTTCTTATTTTTCCCAACCCTCCTTGGTTGGGTATTCGTTTTGAATAGAGCAGTGTGGTCGCGTCCCTTCTCCCGCCCTTCCTCCTTTTCCCCTCCCGCCTCTTCCTGTCTTGCCCGCGGGGGGCTGCGATCTGTGAAACTGTTGCAATTTTCGAGGCCTGCTGGGGGGCCCAGCACAGTGAGGGCCACGGGCGGATCCAAATTAGACCTCGCCATCCCTGGGGGGCTGCGATCTGTGAAACTGTCGCCATTTTCGAGTCCTGCTGGGGGGCCAGCACAGTGAGGGCCACGGGCGGATTCAAATTAGACCTCGCCATCCCTGGGGGGCTGCGATCTGCGAAACTGTCGCCATTTTCGAGGCCTGCTGGGGGGCCCAGCACAGTGAGGGCCACGCGCGCGGCCATTCAAATTAGACCTCGCCATCCCTGGGGGGCTGCGATCTGTGAAACTGTCGCCATTTTCGAGGCCTGCTGGGGGGCCCAGCACAGTGAGGGCCACGGGGATTCAAATTAGACCTCGCCATCCCTGGGGGGCTGCGATCTGCGAAACTGTCGCCATTTTCGAGGCCTGCTGGGGGGCCCAGCACAGTGAGGGCCACACGCGGATTCAAATTAGACCTCGCCATCCCTGGGGGGCTGCGATCTGCGAAACTGTCGCCATTTTCGAGGCCTGCTGGGGGGGCCCAGCACAGTGAGGGTACACGCGCGGATTCAAATTAGACCTCGCCATCCCTGGGGGGCTGCGATCTGCGAAACTGTCGCCATTTTCGAGGCCTGCTGGGGGGCCCAGCACAGTGAGGGCCACGCGCGGATTCAAATTAGACCTCGCCATCCCTGGGGGGCTGCGATCTGCGAAACTGTCGCCATTTTCGAGGCCTGCTGGGGGGCCCAGCACAGTGAGGGCCACGCGCGGATTCAAATTAGACCTCGCCATTCCTGGGGGGCTGCGATCTGCGAAACTGTCGCCATTTTCGAGGCCTGCTGGGGGGCCCAGCACAGAGGGCGCGCAGATTCAAATTAGACCTCGCCATCCCTGGGGGGCTGCGATCTGTGAAACTGTCGCCACTTTCGAGGCCTGCTGGGGGGCCCAGCACAGTGAGGGCCACGCGCGGATTCAAATTAGACCTCGCCATCCCTGGGGGGGCTGCGATCTGCGAAACTGTCGCCATTTTCGAGGCCTGCTGGGGGGCCCAGCACAGTGAGGGCCACGGGCAGATTCAAATGAGACCTCGCCATCCCTGCGGGGCTGCGATCTGTGAACCTGTCGCCACTTTCGAGGCCTGCTGTGATCCCCGTTTTCGAAGTGGCTAGGAGTGCTCAGGAATTGTAAATCATCAGCTTTATCAAGCCCTTTTCCTGTAGCCAGTGTCCTGCGAGTCTCCCGAATTCCGTCTGCAGACATATGTAACCCTCGCTCCGTCATCGCCCCCTTATAAAGTATCCTAAACTATTTGCGCCCCGCTTTTGCGCAGGGGTTGGGTACGTCGCCAGGGTAATTTATTTCTTCCTCGAGAATCGGCCTGTAGGGGGACAGGCCCGACCTAAGCCTACTGGCCTGCCGATGTCCGCCGATTCGACCCTTTGCGACTCGGCTGCCGACCTCCGACTCGGTGCGATTCCTCTCGGTCGCCGATCCGACTCTGTCGCTGCGATCCCGGGCTCGCCCGCTCCCCGCTCGTCCTCGCTCCGCCCGCTCTCGCCCGCTCGGCTCCGCTCGTGAGGTCGGCGCGGTCCTCGTAGAACAGATCGATCCTGGCTGCTTCTGGCGCCTGTTGCGGGCAGGTGGAGTCCCCTCCCCCCTGGGACGCGCTGCTGCAGACCGTCGCACTAAGCAGAGGTCCGGAGCCAGACCCCCCCCCCCTGCCCCCCTCCCTTTCCCGCCAAGTGTCGAAGCGCCGAATATACCTCGGAGGTTGATAGACCTCCTACCCTGACACGTCGATTAGCGAAATGGCCGTGTTCGGTTCGCGAGAGGGCGTCGCGGCCGTCATTTTTGCGGGTCCAGGTCCGTTGATTTCGGTCCTGGGCCGTGTTCACGAAAGGTGGGTTTACTGAAGGGAGGTTTGTCCACCGCCGAATACCAGATGTGCGTCCTCCCCCCCAGGGGCGACGCGCACATCGCGAACTCTTCCAGGGTATGCGTCGTGGCGGGCGCTTTCTGGCCACACCGCTCGGGAAACGATTTACTACAAGATGCGTATACTATATTTACGGGTCGGACGCGCGCCTCCAAGGAGGATATCGTATTAGTAGTTCTTTGTGCCATGCGCCCTCCAGCGTCTCGGGAGAACCGAGGTGGAGGTTTGCCATCGCTTTCGGCCCCTCGAGGCCCCCACATGGCCCCGGGGCCGTCAGCAAAACGATTTTCGGGACGAGCCAGAATTTTTCCCAGGGGAGTGGTCGAGGGTCGGGGATATGTAACCCGCGTCACCCCACCATATTTCTACTATATGTGTGTCTCCCCCCCTACCCCCTGGGGCGACGCGCGCACCGAGAAACCTGATAGTATATGCGTCGTGATGGGCGCTTTCTGGCCACACTGCTCGGGAAACGATATACTACTAGATGGGTATACTAGATGTTCGGGTCGGACGAGCGCATCCCAGGAGAACTTTGTGCGTCCCATGCAAGATTCGGGTAAGCGAGAGCTCGGGTTTGCCGACGTTTATTGACGAGCGCGCGTCCTGGGTGTGGACGGTCCAGTTTCCGTGGGATGTTTGCCGCATGAGTTCGCGTTAAGTTTCAGATTGGGTCTCGTCTTGAGTCGGGCATGTCCCTCTACAGGGGGAGTCTTCAAAAACTGGTAGAAACCTTGTCAGGGGATGATTTTTGCACTATGTTTGATGTTTTTTGGGTGAGTTTCGAATTTGTCGTCCAACATCCGCCTGTAGGAGGACACGCCCGACCTGAGTCTCGTCTTATGATGTTCCAACCTACTGTAGCCTTGATCGTCAGAAAGAAGTTCGGGCACCTGATAAGTACCTGAAAACTCGAGGGGTTTCACGTGGCGGGCCCTGGGAGACACTGTCTCGACACTCTTCCGACACTCTTTCCACACTCTTTCGACACTTTTCCGGGTGCTCGAAATCATTTCTCAGTGCGATGGGAGCAACATAAGGCAAGGGGAGGGATCGTCGTCCAAGACCGAGGAGGAATGCGGATCGAGGGAGTCGTCGAGGATTGGGGGCCGAGGATCGAGGAGGAGCGACGAGGATCGAGGATAGAGGGGGACCACACGTCTCGTCCTCGTCGCGAGGACCCCGCCAGGCCAGCCCGAGCCCCCCGAGAGTCCCCAGCCCCACGCTCTCTCCGGGAGGGGGCCGTCGGGGGCCCTTCGCCTCGAGCCACTCTCGCGGCGCGGGGACGTCTGGGTCCTCTCTCTCTCAAGCAGTGGCGAAGCGTCCTGGCTCGCCTATAGCCCGACCAAACCATGTTCTAAGATCAGGAGGGGAAAAAACACACAGACACAATTAATCGGCGACTCCCAGAAAATATGGGAAAATATGGGAAGTGGGGGGGAAGACAAAACCCCAAAAAATATAGGAAAATATGGGGAATCTTTTTATTTGTGTGTATTTATTTGTGTGTCCCAGTTCCCCTTCATAAGAACCTGTTGCGGTTTCCACGAAATGTCCTTAGAACACTTCTGGTTGGGATCGCCTCGTTCTAACACATCGGGCTCATGTTCTAAGAGCACTGTTTTTGTTCTCAGAACATCTGTGGGTTCTAAGAACATTTCGTGGTAGGGCTACAGGAATGCCAGGACGGTCGGTCCCTGCTCAACTCTCTCTCCCGGGGCGCCCCGTGCCTCCGCCCGCCCCGTCCGCCGTGCGTCTCCCCCCTCGCCCTGTGCGTCAGGGCTGGGCCTGGACGCTGTGCTGCTGGACTTCGGCTGTGTGTTTGTTTCTCGTTTGGGCAGGGAGGCACAGGAAAACATGTGGAGCAATACGAGCAGCAAAACAACAACAACAACAACAACAACAACAACAACAACCACAACAACAACAACAACAACAACAACACCAACAACAACAACGACAACGACAACAACAACAACGACAACAACAACAACAACAACAACAACAACAACAACGACACCGACAACAACAACATCAACACCACCACCACCAACAACACCAACGCCACCACCAACAACACCACCACCACCAACAACAACAGCAACGACGACGACGACAACAACAACAAAACGGAACGCAACGTTTCGGTCCGGATCTGCTGTGGGTGGAAGGGGGGCAGAGAACGGAGCGGTAAGGGCGGAGGGGCAGGACCCAGACCTCCGGCCGCTCCACTCCTTTTGAGGCACGGGCCCTGGAGCTCCCTCCTTCTCCTGCTCCTGCTCCTCCTCCTCCTCCTCCTCCTGCTCCTGCTTCTCCTCCTCCTCCTCCTCCTCCTTCTCCTCCCCCTCCTCCTCCTCCTCCTCCTCCTCCCCCTCCTCCTCCTTCTCCTCCTCATCCTTCCTCCTCCTCCTCCTCCTCCCTCTTCCTCCTCCTCCTCCCTCTTCCTCCTCCTCCTCCTCCTCCTCCTCCTCCTCCCCCACTTCCCTACAGGGGCCTGCTTTGCGCCCCGTGGGTCGTTTTTCTCTCTACGCGACCCCGAGGCCCGGCGAGAGGGCCCCCCGAGGCCGACCGCCGCCAGAAGCCGCCCGCTCAAACAGACCATCCAAACGGACGGAGTAAGGCCGAAACGCTGTCAT